GATTGGTTACCGCATCTCGCACATGGGTTGCTCACGTTGCCCAGAGTGCGCGAACGAGGACGCAAGAGTCGGGATTGAGTATAGCCATGCAACTGTAACTGCATACCCAGCGCAATGACTATACCCCATTGCACTCCTCTGTCAAATACTAATGCATGAAAATCCTAACCTCAAAAAAATCACCCGTTATATCGCACATTTGAGTTAAGTTTGCAGAAATGACTGCTACTTGGTCATCAAGGTTGGGTAAAAATTGCACAGCTGTACCGATTACCAGTAGCTCACTAGAACCAAATACATATGTATACATGTTTACTATGGGAGTATGTACTTACATATATGTAAATTCAAAACTTTAAAGCCGTTTTTTCTCGAGATTTAGATATTTTAAATTATGACACTCTTGCAGCAAATGTGTGATATGTACATACATACATTGATAAAGCTTTAAAAGCGGAAACCCACGGTGGAACATGGAGATATGTATGCCTGTATGTATGTATGTATGTGTGTGTACTTGTATGTAAATTAAGATTTTTTCCTAATATAAAATAAAAGGAATTGATTACTCTGATTCAATGCAGCACTCTCATCATTCATAGGCATATTATTAAATGTACATAGGTATGTAGAATTACATTTTGCTCCGCATTCAAATTTCCATCAGTTTTCCATTGCTGTAAAAATTCTCCAACAACCGCTCAAAGCGCTTCCGCATGGTTTAGCCGAGTTCAGTTCTTCGTGGATTGTCAAGTGTTATACATAGAGTGCAATCGGAGTCCCACTAAACTAGCTGAGCGTTGTGAAAAAATCAAAAGAAGTAAAAATAAAAATAAAAGAAAAACTGTTTGGGTTAGCCGTGGAAAGAGTAATTATTAATTCAATAATACAATAAAAAGAGCAAGTAATTGATATTTTATGAAAAATCGATTTCTGCCACCCCGCCCGTTGTTAATTTATTTTGGATATACATACAAATGTACACACAAAATTAAGTGAATTTTCGCTTGCTAAGTAATCGCAAAGGTCAAACACGTGAAGAAGCGCAAAGCGAAGCAGGTCGCACCAAAAAGCAGTGCAGCGGTTAAGTTTAGCCGTTTAGTTCGGTGCGGTGCGGTGCGGAGGCAGAGAGCTGGGCGGTGCTGTTGTGCTCCTATTCCATCGCGATAACACATCGACGCACGCCTAAAAATTGATTCTTTATTTGCTCACCGCCTATACCCTATATATGCGATCTGACAGATTTTTCCATTGGGGTTATTGCTGCTCCTCGGAATAGTGTTGCAAAGTGACAACCAATTTGCATTCTTAATTCGTTGTTTTTTTTTATTGGATGTTGTACATACATACATACATATGTGCTTAATATCATCATTAGTGAAACACTGGAGTGCAGACCAAAGTCAAATTTAGTAAAGCACAAACTAGAGTGTTTTTCCATATCGGCAGGTGATTCAAGTACCACCATATAGCTGTTGTTGCTGCACTAAAACAGTTACTCACTAAGGCAATAATTCACAAAGTTTTTGGAGGCCGGGGGCGGAGAAAGAAATCCAACAGCGGAGGGCAATTCAGGCAATTCTGGCTCGTGTGGAAGGACTGTTAAAAGTGTAGTTTTTAATTGAACAGCTGTTAAATAAAGCATTTCAGCCAAAAGGAATACCAGCTACCTGCCATCTCACTCGTCGTGTATCCTTTTGGTTATAATGAGTATTATTTGTCTACACAATTGGATACTGCCGTCAGTTCAATGTCAAGATGTAAGTCAATATCCTTGAAAACTACTAAATATAAATGTAGATAAGTACCTACGTGTGAAAGTGCATATGCATGTGCATATGAATATTTAAATGAGTTACGGTTAGTGTGTCAACATATGAGGCCATGAGAGGCAGAGGAGCCTATCTACAAAAAAAGAATTGTTTTGGATAATATGAGTAAGAAAGATCTATAAATAATAAATACGGTATTTTACTGAAAAGTACATTGCGCTTACGTGATGCATTTGCAACCTGTACCTAAACTATGTTTAAATGTCTGGCTACTCTAGCTCTCAAGGCCTCATGTGCGAATATTGTTATTGGATTGAAATTTTAACTTATGTTTTTAGCTTTAATTTTGAGAGTAGAATAAACCACTTTTATACATTCCCATTAGTAAATATTCGCAAACAGTTTTCTAACTACGGTCGACCTTTTTAATGACTTCATTCAGTTCTAGGTGTATGTATTTTTAAAAGTTAATATTTAAGTGCACATTACGGTCTGAAAAAGCCTGATAAATTAACAAAGGTCCCGCAAAAGATGCGGAAAAGTTTCCGCAGATCTCGAAAAATTCCAGAAAAGGTACCGATGACAATCCAAACGACCTCGAAGGATAAAACTCAAAGAAGCCAGAATAATCGTTAGCACTCCCGAAAAGTACCAAAATATCTTAAGTGGTTCGGAAAAATATCGAGATGAACTTGAAAAGTCTGAGGATGCCTACATGCGAACGACGTGTCGCGAGGCGTAGTGAGCCAGAGCGCGCAATGCGCGACGCGACGCGGGGTAGCCCGCCGCAGGAACGCGCACCCCGCCGTTGTGTTATGCACTTTTAAAGCTGCACTCAGAAAAACATTCCCTGATGCTAGGAAAAAAGTATATTATTCTAAGGGAATATTAGCTTTAAATGGCTCCAAAGATATGGTTGCTTTAATATGATATTAAAATATTAATATTAAAACGATTCGACTCAGTTTAAGGAAAAAAAAATTCCTTATATAGTCTTCAGGACTATTGTCTTTGTTCATAGGAAAAATTAACTTTCCCTGAATGGAATAAGTTTGTCATTTTACTCGGGACGCTCAGACAGTCGCAATGGCCGACAAGCAAAGCCAAAGTCCGTGAATTCTTAAGTTTGTGTCACGCTTGCTTGGCGAAAGAGAAAAACAATCAATTGATGCACAGCAAAACTTTGAAAATGGTGCGCTCTTTTACAATTTTATTTTCACGAAGTTCGCTTATTTTTTAGCAAACTTTTTCCTAAATTAATTAAATTAAATTATTTTATATAACAACTTATGAAATCGTTTAGAGGATGTTTAGGAGTACCTACCTCCAAAAAAAAACATTTTAGTAAATATTTTAAAAGTGGCCGTTTCACGAATTCTTAGCCATATTCGAGTATATGTACGTGCATACACATGTGTATATACATATGTATGTACATATATTTGCATAAGTCTCCCTGCAGACTGCTTCGTTTCTAAAAATATATCTTTGGCGCGCCTACACTCAAAGCTGCGTGTATGGGCGCGAAATGATTGTCCGAGCACAGACAAACTCTTTAAAAAGAAATAGCCAAGAAATACATTGAATTAGTGAACAATTTATTTAGAAAGAAAACGCATTATTTAAACCCGTTTGAACTTGCATACATACATATATACAGAGTTGCTACGTGGGTGTAAAGTTTTTTCGCCGCCGTTCAAAATACAATACATAGGCATATTTATGTACATGCGGGAAGTCCCGCGTAATTAAAAAGGAGAGAAGTCCTTTGATTGAGAATGGGAAATTTTCAAATTTGTATCTACCCATACGCGGGCGACTATATATGTACATACATATCGACGGCTTATACGGGTGTTTCCTGCGTTACGGACGTTCCGTTTAGAGACACTTTTTTCATTATAAAAACTATAGTAGGCTCTGAATGAACACAAATTTCTTGTTATGAGTAGTCATCATCAATACCTCCTATCTGAATCCAATAAACATATTTTCCACAAATGTTATATGGTAAGTGTATAGCGATTAAAAGTTCCCGTTCGGACGTTCCCAACATGGAACTCGTATCGAAGATGACTGATGATTTTTGCTAAATTCTGCGAATCTGTTAATAGTACAAAAAAAAACGATGAGTGAATGGTTGTTAGAATAATAAGCAGCCATAATCATTGCGTCAAATTGAACTTCCTGACAATGTTTAGTAGCTGCCACTGTCTACTTTTATACTCGCCAAAATTCGCAGAAGTTAATACCTGTTTTTTGTTTTCAATGAATCTCTTTTTACGCAAGTTAGTCGCATCTTGATGCTTTTTTGCCATGATATGATCATTTTTAATTTTCCTCCTATAGTTTTTTCTTACGATCTCCGATCCTAGTATATTTTTAAGTTGTTTTTGTTGTAAGGCTTACGGAACATAAGCTATACTAAATTTTTGTATAGAGTTCCAATTCTTTTTAATCGTGTATCAAAATTATGAAGGTATGGTTTCTCCGAAATAAAGAAAAATTTTAAGTGTAGTTGGAAAATATCTTAAAATGGAGTGGGCCAATAATGGAATTAGTCCAATTTTTTGGTGGATGAAAGACAAAATATGTAGTTATCGATTGGCATCTATAAACTTTGTCCAGCCAAATTCTATTTTTTTGGTCTTGATTGACACTTTTCAGGAAAAACCCATATTTATTCATTACCCTCTATCTAAAATTTTCACAACAATTACACTTTGGTCCCATTGTTTGATCAAACTGCGTGTCTGTGTAATCTAATCAAATTTCAGTGTTTCGTTTTTTTAAGTGGCATCACCACAAGAAAAGCATCTATTCATTTTTTAATACTAAAATGAAGTCGTATTCTTATGAAATTTTTTTTTTTATTATATTCTTGTGAACTAGCGTGTCTGTGTAATTTGATTGTTTGACTTCTACGCGTCAAAAAACCCATCAAATTTCAGTTCTTGTTGAAGTTGTATCACTATAAAAAAAGCTTTGAATTTTTGTTTAATAATTTATTAATTCTAAAATGAAGTCGCTTTGTTATTTTTCTGCCTCATTTCTTGCTTTTTATTTAAATTCGTGTGCATTTCTTCAACTTTGTTTATCAATTTGATCAAACAGCACTTTACATGCTCCACAGCAGATGCCAAACGACTATCAAATTTTATGAAAATCAAATCAAACAGCCAGGGTTATAACTACGGCAAGCTTAAATACGAGTAAATGACATGAAAAATCGTAGCCGAAAATAAAGTTCCGTAGTCGATTTTTTATAGGTCGCTCGTTTACTGGAGAACGTCATAATCCAAATAGATATTTTGTTTCAGTTAAGTATGCAAAATGGCTGCCGATCTTTATTTTATATTCGCCGAAAAATGCGTTACGCTATCCTCCAATTGTTTCCCTGGAACTTTGACCTATAAATCTTAGACTCTACAATCTCTCTTTAGGCAAAGTAAGGAACCAAATGGATTTTTAATGACAGAGCTATCATCTAGCATTTCAAACAAGTGTTGCATATTTTAGCGAAAGAGTGAATAAAATTATATTTTAAATGGCGTTTTAACTATTAGTATCGTGAAGAAATTACGAAAGTTATGCCATTCCCCAGAAAGAATAACTTTAAGAGGCATATTTATGCTTAGTTATAGTATGTGCTACATAAAAATACAAATTAGACTAATATTATTTATATCATACCTTAAAAATTACCTGAATTCGTCATTTCGTGTTTGTATTAAAAAGAAAAACAACTCTATTTTATGTTGTTGCTGCAAAGCGTATTTTATTTCGGAATTAAAACCGTAGCAGATCGTCGGTAAAGCGGAGTAGCGTAGTAAATTTAAAATTTTCTCTAAAGCCGTAGTAAATCTACTACGATCGTAGTAAGGTTCTAACCCTGCAAACAGCCATAAAACTTCCCAGTGGAAATCTTAACCATACGACATCGATTTCGGTGGCATGACCTTGCTGCTGTGTATGCATGCCAGTATAAATGTACATACTTTTATTTCCATTTAATACGTGTGGGTTCTCAGAGCGTATGCGTACTCTAACCATACACTTGTACTACTGCTGTATGCATATGGCTGCATTAGGCTATCTGCACACTTGTCGTCCAATCATAGTTGCGTTATCGTCTCGCCCTGAAATTTGGAGCCGAGCACATGCATTTCAAAGGAGATCTGCACACTTGCCGTTGTCGGGTAGTTATCGGCAAAACTTAGAAGATGCAGAAACGGATAAGTACGGCACTGTCGTTTGCTAATCGTTGTGAACGCATTGTTTGTTTACATTTTATGGGGAAAAATTAGTGAAAAAGTGAATATTTGCATAAAAATTAGTATTTTTTGCATAAAACCTGTGGAAATTATTAAAAAGTTGATAATGACATTAAAATGCAATAAATGTGAGCGTTTTAACTATAAAATATGACGAAATTGTAAAAAGTCTCTGTGTGCATGCTGTGTGAATGTTAATCCCGGGATCCCGGACTTTTTAAGGTCAAAAATATTGATTTTCAAGAATTCTATACTATTTCTACGAAAAGTGTTTTCACCCCATATAAAATACATGGAAAACTTTGAGCGCCTTGAGCGACCTGTAAATATTTTTTGATTTCAAAATAAAAATAATAGGGGTATATTTTTTCGGTATGGAACAATCCTAGGGGTGAGAGCATAAAAATTCCGACTTCACTTTTTCACATGCACTTTTGGACTACCCTAATATACACAATACACAGTTTGATCAAACAATTTGATCATGTAAGGTAGCTATTAGAATTAACATCAGTAATAACAGTTAAGTCCTAGTTGGGTTTTAACATCGGAAAGTAGTTTTTGCAAAAATTAATGACAGAGGGTATTGAATATACGTAAGTCCTCAATACGGATGCTCAACGCTCGTATCTATACTTTTTTTGCAATATTATATTTAAGATTCCAAAAATGGATACTGCTGTTTGTTTTTCAAAATACTGCATTTATACGAAA